GTTGACTTCTTGAGAAGTTAACACAACGTCCTCTTCGTACTCGTCTGTGGAATATGATATGCGCGAACAAAAGAAGACTTAACATACCTAATAACTAAAAAGAGTATATGAAAGGTAGGATTCGTGCAAACCTTCGTCTAAAACAGCTTCCTTCAAATCACTCCACGAAGAATAAGCTTCTAGCGGCACTTCCTGTGAAGTAACAAGCGGAGTTTGAAGAGGTTCCGTCGAATCATCTTTAAAAAGTGCTATTGAAGCAGGTGACAGTAATGACATCCAATTGGGGTTCATTGTCGTGATATTTCAAGAAATATACTTGAGTTAAAGTGCATTAATAAAAGTACAATGTAAAATTCTATTAGAAGTTTTGAAAAAAAATAAGAATTAAGATGCAGAATTACAAAAAAAAGAAGAAAAAAATTTTGCTATACCAGATATATATTAATAAAATTTCAGCGACCAATCAACCGTTTCCACAATTGATTTTCAGCACTAAGCCAAATTATGATGATCTTTGTATCTCGTTACCTTATTTCATCTGGGTAAACATCGATTAACCGGTTAGAATCCACTTTTAAATAAAATTATGTCAAGCTCTGAAAAAATTCCTAAACTTTCTACAAAAAATTATTCAACTCAAGTGCTGATAACTTCACGGTCAAGCAATCCTTTCGTAGAGGTGAATGCTTCAGAGAATGAACCACAACGCATCGCGCGTATAAAGAAATTATTCGAGGAATTTGACCGTGAAAAGTCTGGTGTTTTAACTCGCAAAGCCATTCAAAATGGCCTAAAAAGATTAAAAAATCATCCGGCCCAAAAAAAATATGCCTCAGAGCTTTTGTTAAAATGTGACACGTCAGAAGATGGTCTAGTGGATTTTCAAGAATTTAAAAGTTTCGTGGAAGAGAAAGAAAAAGAGTTGTTGAAAGTTTTTTTAGATATTGACAAATCGCATGATATGAGATTGCAACCTGAAGAATTGGAAAACGCGTTAAAAAAAGCAGGTTTTTCTTGTTTTTACATTACTATTATACTATGATAAAATGTTGATCTTATTATTGATTTTTTTCTTTCTTCTTTTTTAAACAGGTATCAATTGCACAAAAGTAGAATTAAAAAACTTTATTGATACTATGGATAAAGATGGTAATGGGGTCATAGATTTTTCCGAATGGAGAGATTTTTTGTTGGTATGTTCAAAACATTATCATTATTTCTTTATACATTGCTAGCATTCATTCTCTTTTTTTGAATGGAAGGCAGTTTCTTCCTCGAAAGACAACGATGTCTGAAATATACGAATACTATCAAGTGGTCACTCAAGTCAATATTGACGGTGAAGTGACAATACCGCCAACTGATCCAAAGTATTTTCTTGCCGGTGCGATTGCAGGTGCAGTTAGTCGGACAGTTACTGGTATTGTGACATTCGAATTATTCATACATAATTCATAGTTTTGAAATATTAGCGTTATAAACATACTGAAGATAGGGAATATTTACATAGCGCCACTTGACCGGCTTAAGGTTTACCTACAAACGCAAACAAAAGAACTGACCCGAGGAAGCGAGATTCTGTTAGGTTCGAAAGGCTTTAGCAATCTTACTAATGCAGTAAGAGCACTATATGCCGATGGTTTATTAAACTTTTTTAGAGGCAATGGGATAAATGTTGCAAAAATTGCTCCTGAATGTGCGATCAAATTTTTTGCTTACGAAAAGTCTAAAACAATAATTGCATATTTAATGGACAAACAAGATATTGGATCAATAGGAATGACTGGCAGGTTTCTCTCGGGTGGTCTTGGTGGTGTTGTATCCCAATTTTCCATATATCCCTTGGAAACTTGGAAGACTCGCGTTATGAGCTCGAAATATTCAAATTCCAATGGGAGTCTTTTAATAAATACGGCAAAAGAGATGTGGAGAGCGCAAGGTTTTCGATCCTTTTACAAAGGACTAATTCCCTCGTTGTTAGGGATGTTTCCCTATGCTGCTATAGACATGAGTGTATATGAAACTTTAAAATTAACTTTTATCAAACGAGAAAGGTCAAAAACATCAGGAAAAGAACCAGAGCAGCCAAGTGCTTGGGTTTCATTAGTTTGTGGTATGATTTCGGGATCTATTGGTGCGACGGCTGTTTATCCTTTATCATTGGTTAGAACCCGGTATGTCGTGCAAATAGCTTATAATCAAATTTTTATTAAGTCAATTATTTATTAATTTATATAATGTCGGATAATAGTTTACAGGCACAAGGTACTCTGGGTCATCCTCAAACTTATACCGGTGCATTGGATGTAATTCGCCAGACTTATGCCAAAGAAAAAATAAAAGGATTCTATAAAGGGTTAACTCCCGCGTTAACTAAGGTAACAATTAATAGCATTAAATATTTAATTGTAGAAAGTATTTAATAATATTAATTATTAAATAGGTTGTACCGGCTGCAGCCATAACTTATATGGTTTATGAAAAAACTAAATCAAAATTGGCTATAAAATAGTAAGTATGAAGGTTTGGTATATGATAGCCTAAATATTCACAATTAAGTGAATAACTTTTAAAATTTTTTTAAGTGATTTAAAATCTTATTTTTTTGTTTGTAAGATAGATTTTTACTGTAAATTAATGTATTTTTATTTGTTGCTTAAAACCAATAAAATAAATATTAATTTTGTAAATTTGACACTTATCTGTTATTAGTGATGTGAATTTTTCCTAAACAGCTAGTGGTAGGTACTAGACACATGATTGTTATGTAATATGGGATCTTTGCTAGGAAAATCATCCTTCAACATTTTCCGATCGGGCAAATTCTGGAAAATTCAAACCGTATTTACTTGCATATACCGGGGACGTCTAAAGCGGAGATAAATCACGTGATCGACCGCTAATAAAATTTATGGTTAGGGTCGCTTTAGGATAGGG